TAGTACTAAAATATGAATTATAATCTACAATTTGATACTAAACTTGTTGACATAAATTCATGAAATAGTAGTTCAATAGAATTGTGAATGCGAGTCAACAAACGAGATGACATGGCCTTTGACTTGTGTGGAAAGGATTAATGCACTTTCTTAGTAACAAGAACTTATCGGTGAAAGTAAAAAATCAAGAAACAAATAGATCTACCACTTACCACTTTGCTGGATCGAAGAAACTACTGATGACAACAGGTACAGCATAATCCAGAATACAACCACCGATACCAATTAGAGCAATGCTTGTATAGACAGCAGGTTCAAAATACCATGCGAGACTGAAACAAACAGCCACAAAGTTTCAGTATGATGAATGATTAAATGGTACATACAAACAAATATCAGATTTATAACTAGTGTGACAAGTTAACAATCACATTACAAATTATAAAGTTTTATTAAAACAAGTCAAATACATATACAAATGTTCCTAATACTGTTGTTATCATAGTTGTATCAAAAGCTTTAAATAATTCTCTCTTTTTCATCAAAGTCCACACACCCTGGTTCATTTATTTCAGAAAACAAATGAATTATTCTTCCTGCTCTGTTACTACAAAACAATCTATGATAATTTCACTTTAAAATCACTACTATGACTGTTGGTTATTGCAGTTGTATCCAAAACTTTAAATAATTGTCTTTTTCTCATCAAATTCCACACAAGCTGGTTCAATCACTTTAGAACACAATCTGACAACACAAATTACTTTCTCTCTACTCTGTTATTACAATACAATCTGTGATAATTTCACTTAAAAAATTGGCACTATATGCTCTTTATGGCTAAACTCGCAATAACTCCATCTTGATCTATCTAACTAAACTACATTTTGAATGTGTATTTATAGTCCAATTGAGGCCTAGAACATTCCACACATAAATGAGATATTATGATGCAACAATACTCAATTAAAACAATGAGAAAACTCGAATGGTTTTAGTAACATGATGCAATAATACAATAACCACCAATTCACAACAACTGAACTACACAATGTATGATTCAAAATCAGTTTCGTAAACAAAGCTGCAATAAACTATCATTTCTAAAAATAAGTAAATTTAACACTCACACAAATTATAATATTCACATTAAATTTAAACAGTCTTGTGTATATCTAACAGAAATACTCAATTCACTAAACATATACACACACACACACAGTTGCACTATGCTCCAACATTTGATTTACTGGATACACACACACATATCTTGTAATACTTGATTTACAACATACACTTTGTCATACCATGCTCTGATGTTTGATATACTGAACACAAATTTTCCATCATACTGTTACGTCTCTGGTCGATTGTTAATTTTTCATAGATATTCTTTCTGAAGAATTCCAGCGATACAAGTCCTTTCTTAAATAAAACTAGTTTATTCTTTCTCAATTCAACTTAGCAGTACACTTAATTTCCACAGTCACTTTAACTTAAACACACACTCGAATTCACAACGATTCACGCACTTTACTTACAGCTTGACTCGATTATCTGTCTCTATATCTCTCTGTCTGCAATTCAATTGTTGCCGTCACTATATTTGCTGGCTTATATACTATAAGAGTGCGAGTCTAGCAAACACTAGAACAATCGACAGGTTCCTCGATCTTTCTAGATACTACTTACGTGTTACCAGCGTCACATGACTTCCGCTGTCATAACACTGCTCCTTCCTTAGTAGTGTTCGTCCCGAACAATAGCCACTTAAATTAAACCAATAGATAATTAACAATAACTTAATTAAATGTACAGAATTTACAAATACAAAATTAAAACCCAACAAAGTCTCTTAATTTTACTGGACGTATCTTTTTCCGTACTGGTCTCTGTCTCGTTGGCTTCTGCTTCATGTGAGGTTCATCTGCTCCATCAGGAAATGTCCTATTATCGGTAACAGTCACATCAGTGGTAGTAACTTCGTCAAGGGTTTCAATGTTTCCCCTTCTCAAAACTGAGTAGTTTCTCTTC